GGCAACCGCAAACTAACCCAAAGACACGAGCGAGCCGGCCCCGGGGGAGCCCGTTGTCTTAGAGCCAAGTAGTTTAAACAAAAGGAGAGAAGAAAAAACAGTGCGGAAAGTTTGCCCAACTTCCCCTGCCTCGCCAAGCTGGAAACAACAAATAGGGTTGAGCCAGACGGAAAAACTTGACGTAGTTACAACGGCTTCGAACGTGTATACCTCTAGGAAAAGTACGTACAACGTGCATGAATCCGAGAACTGTTTACCGGTATGCTGGTTCAAAAAAGAAAGCATTGAACGTGGTGAAAAGTTGTACGTTTTATAGGTTTCAATTACAAATTGATGCATTGAGATAATCTACATGTCGGCTTTCGTAGATTCAAAACTATTAACATTTTTTAACACAAATTTCGGAATTCAGTTACGCTCTCACATTACAATAATTTAAACAGACTCCATGGAAATACGGTCGACGCTTCCCCCTACCTTCGGTTCAGGATCCGAGGTCCTTAAATCGAGTACAAATTTGTAATTAATTGGACCACCCCCCCTTAGGACGTTCACACGGTACTCCAAATTTGTGCGTAATGCTTTTAATCATCGTAAATTAAATAATCTTAAAACGACATATTATTCTACTGTAGTTTAATATCATTCTACATATTATTCTGAAAATAACGCTTTCTAAAGGATGCTGTTGCCTTATGTATTGTTTGTTATGTTAACCTAATTCTTAAAAACATGTACAAATAGTTAAATAAAGATAGCAAGTTTTCTCTAGATAACTACTTAAAAAGCAGAAAGTAATGAAGAAGGCATTCAGGGCCGAGATCGGCGTATGTCACAGTCAAAGTGAATACTGAGAATCGTTTCAAACCGAAATAGTTTCGGCGTCTTTAAGTCTTTCCCACTTTTTACTACGAAACCGCTATCAGTCAAGACATTTACGAGTTCAAGTCAAGAAATATTCCTTTCACGATTCGCATGTGTGTGGAACATATTAGTTAACAAACGAACAGTTTTCAAGAAGCTACTCGTTTCAAATCTCTTTAAGAAATTTCCTTAGATTTGCAACCTTACAAACCCAACTGTGATATTTCGGACACAGCATTCGAAGTGAGTGAACGTACAAACAGAGAATAGCCAACGTGGCGGCTTCTCAGTGAAAATTGAATGAGAGGCTCGCTTGGCGCAGCGGCCGAGGGTGCGGGATGCCCTCCACCGAAGAGTGGAGGCGCCGGGCTCGGCAGAGGGAGCATCGCGATTCAGATCACGTATCTCTAAATCTGCTTTTCTAATTTAAGAACGGATTTTCCGAGAGCTTAGTTTAAGGGACACGGCGTGAGGCGTGTTTGATATATGATCGAAATTTTTGCACGTTTTGCCTTCCGCGTAGCGCTGGGCGTGAAGTTTACCATTTCGACTTCTTTTTAGATAGAGATTTGAAATCGATCAAAATATGTAAAGAATCCTTCCAAATCCTCAGAATATACGGCCATCAAGAAAAAATTCTGTAAGAAGTAAGGTATTTCTTCTGGTAAAATAAAACAAACATTGAATTGTCCTAAAACAAAAGCAAGGGTTAGTTATTAGACAGGTACTTAGGAACAATATTTCCTGATCGATAGTTTAGCAAAAGTTTAACAACGGTATCGTAAATGTAACAAAACTATGATGATGCTAGTAAGTAGGATGTTGGTACATCTAGAACGCCATCACATTCAACTGTACTCCGAGATATTTTGTGGATAAGATATAACTATATATGTTTTTTAAACGGTTTTATTTAGCTCGACACGTACGGATTTTATTTGTTTATTTGGGTCAAAATTAGAAATTGAATTTTAAGCACCTTCCCGTTGTCAGATTGATCTGAAATTTGGTACACACATTTAATTTAGATGACAATACAATATTGTAGTTTTCAGTGCACAAAAAAAACAGAAAATAAAACCTTTAACTTAAAAGTTTTTAAACGGTTTTATTATTCTGTATTCATAACAGACACTTATTGAGTCCATTAGTTAGGAAGATAATAAAATAGAATGTGAGGCAGTCATTGCAACGTTTAAAAAGCCGGTGGAATGTAAGAAGCAAGAGTCATTTCCACACATTTTAGTCTTCAATGCAAGACAGTAAGGCACCCACCCTGACTCGCGCCGTAACCATTGACCTTTGTCATTATGGGAGACGCCTTGTGGCTGTTTCATATTAATTGTAATTTTTTTATGGGCGAAGTTGGATAACGAGCAAACTGTTCCACTGATGCTGCTTCCGTTGTAGCTACAGTAGAATCTGCGTGGCCCTTCCACAAAATGATGATGGGCCTTCGTACTTTCTGATGTCGTAATTATTTGCTTCGTCATTTTATTGCGTTTTCGAACAGCATATTCAGCTTGTCTTTACCACCGCGACAATAAATGAACAGACGTCTGAACAGACGTATAATCATAAAAAAATATTAACGTAAAAAAATCCATAATTAAAAAAAATATTTTTCAAACAAACCTAATTAAGTAAAAAAGAAACAAAATTTGTAACATCCTATACAACTACAACTGACTGATTCATACATTCAGAGACTTTTTCATTCGTTGCCACAGCGCCGCATTACAAGCCTCTCCCTCTAACAGTATGTTTTTTCTCTTTTAAATTCATTCAACCCATTCATATGCTTTGTGACCTTTACAAATGAACTTTACATTAAAGTTTTATATGTAAGGGTGTTCTAAAATTCTTTGTTTTGGAAAATTTGATAACTCGGTAAATATTGATGTTTAAAGAATGTAAATCTATAATACAATTTTAAACAGTTATCCTCTATAAGTGTGTTCATTTATTGTCGCGATGGTAAAGACACTCTGTATATTCCGTTAATGTTACTGCCAACGTCTCGTGAATAATAAAACGTATATATAACCATATATCCGTAGTAAATTATTCTAGTAGATTTAGTTTCAAAATTAATAATATAATTAAAGCTTATGCGGTCGCACAACACTATATGAAACCACTGTTATAAATAAATCTGACTGTCATAAACCAGTTCGAAGGTTTCTTTGAGTTGCCGCCCATTATACGTTACATCATCCTTTGATGATGCCGCCGTAACCGAGTGTCAACAGGCTTCACTAAATAATCGTAAATCGAGTCATCTTGAAGTGTGCGTAAACTTTATAATCTCTCCCGGCTTTTATTAAAACGAGAGGAATTTTGTAACTGCAAAGCAGCTTACATTTACTCGAACCTTAGCAATTCAAAAGATATCAACAATTCCATTGCACCACTAAAATAAAATTTAAAATAAACTTATTAGGCAAAACAGTTGCTTACATGTCTCGACGATTCGAACTCATGTGCACTTTTTCAATGAAAAAGTACCTTCGCGAGTGAAGTGTGAATTTATTTCTTTTTACGTGGAATGTTTCCATAGACTTCCTCCTCGTCTTTCCCTCTATTAAGGCCAGCGAAGAGTTCACAGAAGCCGTTACCGAAGTAAAGCCCCCAGGTGCATGACCATAGCCGTAGGAATTACGAATCAGGAGAGAAAACACATCCAACGAGATAGACTCCCAATTCCAGTGCGACAAATTACCAGCCCTTTATCCCGAACCCACAGCACTAACGGTTGGTCAAGCGACGAATTTAGGGCGGTTGCGAATTTAGAAATTTATATCCTTCTCAGTGCCAACCTTTTGAATGGCCGATGCGGTCTTATTTCCCCGTTCGAAGTCTTTACAGCGACCGTCTTTGTTTCAGACCGTGATAAATGGTTATTTATACCCCGTACGTCTTATATTTAAACAACGAGTTCAAAATATTCCTTCAATGGGTTTAGTAATAGCTTTTTGTTTCTTTTATTTGGTACAAATTGCAAACAAGCTTTGAATAACTAACACCTTTTAGTATTACCAAAATAACGAAATAATAGGCTCCACTGTTAACAACCAAGTTATTTCAAATAAGGAACACTTAAAAACCTGTTTGAAGCTGGGTTACTATTTATCACTCACATGTTCCAAGCTTAACCGAGCAGCCATATCCGCCGTTGATCGCACTTACCTGCAACAAAACAAACAGTCACGATATGACAAAAGCAATGGTCCCGTCTCGCCGCGGTAGAAAGTTATGGAAGACTTAGAAAATCGGGGAACTGCTCAAGTTACCAGGTCGGACATATTGATTCGAGGCTGGCGTTAGGGCGAGCTTTCCTTCGGTCTAATCTTGTACAACACGTGGGGCTTACCTACGGTTTTATTTGCAAGCACTAGATTTACTTTCTGCCCTACGGGGATGAAAGAGCAGAAAAAGGGTTTATATAAGACGGTCGACCATATACATTTTAACGTTGTTAATATGACGTAATGAAAAAAATTAAAATGGGGATATATTTCATAAGTTTAGTCCTTTTTAATAGGAAGAATTCAGGATATTTTAAACCATATAAAGATAGATAGATATGTAGTAGGCGGAGTAGTCGCAAACGGGTGCTGAGTGGACCTCTAGCCGAAACTGTAATTAATTGGTTACGGATTCTTAATCATTAAGGCTCGATTCACATTAAGATAGCTGCGAGAATACCAACCAGAATTTTATCATTGCGAAATATCATGTATCACCCAAAATCGAATTTAAATTCATCTTTAATTACATAGGATAGGCTCGAAATTAACAGAACTCATTACGTTCGAAACGGTAGAGGAATTTATTCGTTTATTCACTTACTGTAAAGTATTTCTTGTATTGCATCCCCACGTTTGTAATATGAACGATTCAATCTATCTGTATCTAAAAATATGTGTATCGATTTTGTAACTAGCTACTTGAATATTGGCAAGGCCTAGGACTTGGACGAGAATGCATAGTTTAGCAACGCAAGATGAGATAGGCCCACAAGCAAACGGGCCTTAATATCGCTACGAAAACATTATTTGGACGGGCAGGCGGTGGCCCACGGCGAGTAGAAAGTGGCGCCGCGGCGTGTGTTATGAATAGAAATCGCTCAAACAATGACTTTCTTGTCCCCACCACCGTCCACCGTCCTCTCTGAGCCCCACCCACGCGCCTTTAGAGGTAAACTGATCCTGACAAAATCCGAAACGTCGCACAGTGGACTATTTACATGAAATTTCTGGCCAAAATATAATGAGACCATATTTATCCTAAAAATAGATTCAAAAAACTATTTAGATGCAAAAGTACATTTTATTTGACAAAATAATAAAACAATCTCGAAGATGACTGAATTTTATCACAAGATCTTTTTCACTATGACCAACCTTCATTATTAATCCTATGGAGTCTAATGACCTTTGAAAAATGTTAGAGTCACTACCCAAATTATTCAGAATTATATCTTTCTTCTTCGGTGGTATTTTCTAGCACCTCCTTTAGACTTATGGTCAAGTAGTTCTTGTAAATGAACAACTGCACATGTTTCTGTAACAAATACGCGTCTTTTATAGGATAGCTCCTTGCTTGGCCTATTTAAGCAAAGAATAACAGGGATAAATATTTTCGTTAGCAGGTTGTATCACTTCGTACTGTTTTCTTGTGAGATCTGCCTCTACAAAATGAGACAAAGCTACAAATGGAGTATGGTGTTTGATGGTTTCTTTGTGAAATAAAACCCTGAAATTTTTTGGCTCATGTCGCAAACGCTAATGCCTCTTATATCAATTTAGAAAGGTTATTCCTAAGCACTTCGATTTATAAAAGCGCCAAACGTTATTTCTTCAACAGTTTCTGATCTTATAGCATGCGTCTTACGCCTCTTGCTTCGGTAAGTGACCGAATGGTCAAACACTTCAAATGGTCTCGTGGGTCTGTCTGATTTGAGTCCAAATATGTATGTAAATTTTGTTTTCAGCCATACCTGTTTTTTTTTCCCAAAAATGGGTTACTCTATCTGCATTATTCCTCCCATGTCTTCTTGAAATCGCTTTTTAAATAACGCAGGAAACGTTTTACTACATCTAATTCAGTTTTCGGATAGCAAACAATTTCCAAGACTTTTTCTTTTTTAAACAAAATTTTCAAAATTTTCAAATTCTTAATGAGGTAATTTTTAATGAAACCATAAAGATCTTCATTGGAGAAAGTATTCATGTTCGCTGATAACTATGAAAAAGGAAGAAGGAAATCAATACCTACATAACATTCTCAATACCTATATATAAATTCCATATTATTTTGCGTACTCGATCTGCGAGTTTTAAAAAAAGGCGCAAGTATGCGCTAGATTTTTTTTTTCATAAACGTGTTATTTAAATACTTAAATTTTGCGTTGTTACAATAAATTTTGCCCGAGAAAGCCTGACACATTAACAAAAAGCTTTGTAGAAACTTTTTTCTACATATTTTAAAAAGCTTTGTGTTTGATAAACTCAATGAAATAAAATACCTTTTTCAACAGCAAATATGAAGAAAAAAATATGTAACTATATTAATAGATACATTAAAATTAAATACTAGAAAATTTATTAAAACTAAATCTGTACTAAATTGATATTACGAACACAATAATTGTAAATTGAATAACACAGTAAATTGAGAGCGACATAACAATAAAGTGCATCCTAAGAGCAGGTAAATTGCGACTAGCAGAACAGGCGGGGGCTGAGGTTAAGGTAACTCAAGTTGCCTATTTGTAATGCTCTGGTTATCTAATTACAACAAAAACAATTGTCAGTAAAAATAAATATAGTTGAGTTTTTCTGACTTTTGGCCAGGTTTGCCCATAGTAATACTCCACTGTGCGTCGATGTTTATATCAGGAAAGTTTATGACGATAAAGATGCCTGAAGATAGATAGCAGAAACAACAATTTTAAAAATTAATGTTTTCAAGTTGAACAACGGTGCTTAAATCAAATTCAATTGAGATTTTTAAAGCAATGTCCATCGACTTCTGATCAATAAATTAATAAAATATAATGTAATAACACTAAAAAGGTTTTCGGTCGTTTGTCCGTTGTTGTTTTCTCAAATCTCATATTCATAATCAAGTTCTGTACGACATTTTGGAAAATAGCACCTTTCCCACAATCGAAGGGATAAATCTCCGAAGGCCCTCAATAAAAACGTTTATATCTTTAATGACCCTGATGGTTTCCGCGGGAATGTTCGGGCGTCGCCCGAGGCGGGCCCAATTTGAATTTAGGTAAAAGGATCCGGGGTCGTTGAAATGTCGATGCCCCAAAATCGAGGCCGATCGCAGCATCGTGCCTCTCTCGGGCACTCATCGTTACTACGTCACGTACTGTCACGGAGTCCCTTTAGTGCAATTCCATTCACAAATAGAAGTAGCTCGTTTTGCTGGGACGAGAGATGTGTTTTTGTGGAAACTGTCAGTAAGTGCTTGTGCTTATTATTATTATAAATTAACAAAAAAACATAGAGACTGAGTCTCTGTAGAAGCGAACCTTAAATGTTCCCCAGATTTATTATTGACACTAAAGATTGAATAAAAAGCTCTGTAAGTTGAATACCACTCTGATAAGATCTCTTGGCATGGAATTTAATATGGACCAACTAATTATGCGATATCTATTCCGAAAGGCGTCAAAGATAAATCTTTAGTACCTAACGAATAAACTAACAACGGGATCATGGCAAGGTTAAATACCAGACACACTTTTTTAAAGCCTTGAGGCGCATAAGTGGTACGTACAACTATAGTTAGATAAGTGCAGTTACTGTATCCATCGTATTGTAAAACCTTACAGAAAAAAATAACGAAGTTCATTTTATAACATTTGCCCACTCTTAAGGGACATATCAACCACCAACGTTAACCACAGGGAAATCACAGAAATTTTGATTTAATTTTCAAAATTACTAAGCGAGATTTGCTTGTGATCTCCTTCAATATATGTATCATTCGTCTATATAGCATTTTTAGTAAAATATTGGAGCAACAAGCAGAAAACGAAACCGACACATCAATACAGAGAACAGAAATGCACCAATGGCTAATCCAAAATGTCGCCATCAATCCGGCTAGGATATTAACAAAAAATTCAGGGCGGGAATCCTCGGCTGGTAAATAAAATGGGTAGAAATAACTGTTTAAAGAGATAAACGCAATCTTACCAATTAACCTGTGTGTTAAATACAAATAATTTACAAACCGTTAGTTACCGAAAAAAGTAGAGAATCACTTACGTTTTTTTATCAAAATTACGGAGAAACATGAATTGCTGATAAGAGCCAACATTTACACGTGCAGAAAATTTTTATCGTCACATCTTAGGTATATGGCACGGCCGACGTCAGTTCGATTGTCGAGACAAGGTAAATACATTCATATCTTGTTTTTGCCATTCGTGAATATTGCGACCACAAGATATAATAAATATAACTTATTGACGCGTGCGAAATTTTCGCACAGTTTCTTGAACCGTCACCGAATGGTGTAATATAATAATGTGTACCTAACAGTCTACTTCGCTATCTTTCGTTTAAACAAATAACCAATAGATGGCATTATCATACATTTTTATAAGAAATTTGTATACGAATATTTAAAAAAAAATTACCGCTATAGAGATGGCTTTTTTTAAATAAAGAAACAATGAATACTAGTGGACCCGTCCAAAAATTTCAACCAGTACCGTGGTCAGTCACTGAATAATGAAATGAATGTTATTTTAAAGAATACTTCGGTACTTCGATATTTAGGATTTAAAAAAATCGTCAATAGATGGCACTAAGTGGGGAAAACAACAGTAACGTTTTCGCAGTATTTCAAATGAGCGGAGTTATTTAAATAACTTCGTTATACGTACTATTGATCACTCAGGTCACTCCGTATAGTCTATGACGGAAGAGGGTCGATGCTGCAATGGTTTTTTGCAATAGTACTAACATAAACGGTTCAAGCTGTACGTAGGGTCTTAATAAATAAAAATCTATTGGAAAACACCGGTGTTGAGCTTCCGGATGAACTAGCGAAATCATTAATACCAAAGTACAGAGAAACTCGCTAAGATGTTAGGGTCCGGAGGTTAAGGAATGAGCGTATATTACTGATGTTACCACGTCATGTTACAGCGCCAACGCGTGACGAGTGCGAATGGGGCATTATGAAACGAGAGCGGTCCTCTCCCGTCGCCCCGTCGATCACGACGGCCAACATTGTGGCTCTTCCCTCGTGCGTTTCAGCTGCGCACCACCGTAGATAAAAACGTGACCGAGTGTATCGCCGCAACACATCTAAGTGGGCGCCCGAGGCCGGCCCAGACTCGTTATTAAATAAAAATCGTGTATGAAAATATAATTTCGCCTTAATTGGAATGTTTCCAGGCGCCTTTTCGGAAACATCTACCTGCCCGTTGGGTGGAGTGTGGCCGATGCGACCCTGCGGGGTCACCACACTGTACGCAGTGAGGGCCCGCGCTATGCCGCCGATACGCTAAGCGGGAATAGTTTCGTAATTGGCGCACACTCGCCCAAGGCGGAAAGCCGGCTTACATTGTTCGCTAAAGCAGTATTGTCGGTGGTAAAACATAGTTTCGCTTAATACGTTACACAATGCAAAATGTAGTACGAAACAAAAGTAGTTGCGGGCCAAGTGGAACGGTCATCTCGGCTCTCGCAATGCGTCGGGCTAATAAAGTAATCGCTAGAATGTCGGAAAAGCCACTCGCAACTTTGGGCGCGGAGTTTCGTAACGAACTTATCATAAGTGACAATAGTATTCAACATATTGTGGAAATGTTTCTGCTCTATTTTTTGCTATTTTGTAGCTGTCATAGTTAGAGGTAATGCTGAAGAACACAATTTTGTACCCAGGAACAGCGTCATTGAGAAAGTACTAATGGCTGTAAGGCCGCTGAATTTCAGGAGAAGCCGTATTGCATATAAACTCGACTCAATAAGAGATTCGTACAGGCAGACTAATTAAGGGAGAAGATAACAAACTGTTTTTCTTCAACCATCGTTTTTCCTGTTATTAAAAAATAACTTTCGAGTTATTATTATCTTTATTTAACCTTTTATTTTTAATACTTTCTGCTGAATATTTTTTAAGTGTTGATGTTTCGTCTAAATAATTCGTTGTCGTTCATTGAGCCCGCAGTGTCGAATCCGCTGAAGTCGGCAGTTCTTGTGGGTACGGAAATTGGAGACAGATATAGGGAATTCCACGATCAGCCGTATATGTATATAATATAATTCAGGCAATATTTATTTAGACCCACAAGAGTTGGCCGTGGTAGGACCACGCAACAGTTTTCCAGGAAGGTCCGTCTGCGTTTCGTCTGGTGAGGCCAGGGCCCACTTTTTTAAAATGTGGCAACGCATCTGCAACCCTAAGGGTGTTGCAAATGTCCATGGGCGGCGGTTATAACTTGCCATCCGGTGAACCGCCAGCTCGTTCTAGTCTCGAATGCACTGCGCGGTGGGTCGAGACTGCGCGTCGCGGTGCCCGCTTGAATCGCTTGACGCGGCGTGGCCAATATCGCTACTTCTTCTTTAATTGACAAACACGCCATTACTTAGGCATCGTATCTGGCCACAATGTTGAACGATAGTTGTAACTTTTCCCATTGATTTCTAAATGTTTCGCGAGAAAAGATCGTAGCAGTACTGAAAAATCTTTAATTTCAAAATTTGTAGAAACATACATATAGGACTAATATTAACTACTGTCGCAGTACACCGGAAGCAAATATTTGGAAACGCGTTACGTATATCAAATAATGCCCGTTCAAGTGGAAAGTAAACTGTAAAGTACTAACCCAAGATCGAATACATTGTACGGTGTAATGCTAGCATAGAGAAGTGCTATCGCCGCGCGAACGAGATCCCAAGTCGAGTGGCCACGCACTCTGCCAACTAGGACGCGTGTTGGCCAATTACGTATGGCAGCAACGCTACGGCGCTGTGGGTCTTTTGCGTGCATTGGACATAGGACTAACTACAGCTACACTCATCATCACTCTATTGTTAAAAACATATTATTAAAAAGTAACGCGGAAAAAATTAGTGCGTGTAAAACCTATACACGCGGTTGAAGTTATTAAAATAGTTAATATTTTTTTAATCAAATTTATTATTAATTTACTGATTAATAATAAATTATTCATATGTTTTCATAATTAACGGACAGTTCAGATACACACATGCTTATACAGTGTGTCGTTACAACCACGACAATAAATGAACACACGCCTAACGCTACTTGCCAATAATCATAAAAAAATATAAACGTTAAAAAAACCATAACTAAAAAAAAATTTTTCAAACAAACTAATTAAATAAAAAAAAACAAAATTTGTAACACCCTATACAACTACAACTGACTGATTCATACATTCAGAGAATTTTTCATTCGTTGCAACAGCATCGCATTACAAATCTCTCCTTCCAACAGTATGTTTTATCTCATTTAAATCCATTCAACTCATTCATATGCTTTGTGACCTTTACAAATGAACTTTACGTTAAAGTTTTATACATAAGGGTGTTCTAAAATTGTTTGTTTTGGAAAACTTTTGTTTTAATAACTCGGTTAATGTAGATGTTTAAAACAATTTTAAAAACTTATCCTTTATATGTGTGTTCATTTATTGTCGCGGTTGTAACGACACGCTGTATACAGTGTGTTTATTTAAAAATCGGATGCTATATAAACACTTCATCGTCCCTCAGTTATTCCTTAATCGCATCTAATGAAGTTTTATGATATAAATCGATTGTGAAAAATTTCTAGAGGCGTTATTAACTTGTTCATTAAGGTCTTAGTGTGCGCCATGAACGCCAATAATTCCAAAATTTTAGGATTCGCGATCTTAGACTAGGGTTCCTAGCCAAGATCGAGTATAAACGTGGTGCTGCACTTTGCATTTTCTTTAAATAATTTTAATTTTAAAATTATTTAAAGAAAATACTTTTGTTTGTTAATCGGATAACCGAGAGAGCTCAGATACATTTCAGTTGCTTTGCATACATTTCTTGCAATTTGTTAAAGGGAAACGTAAAGATTTGCATTTCGATAATTCATGCCACCGAGAAGCAACTTCTGCCGTTACAAGTATGAGCAGACTCGTTCTAATGCCACAGTTTTCCAAAAGAGTGTCGTAGATATCGATAGACAGCGGTAAGGCAATCAATGCGACAAAGGTGACAAGCGATCTTATGAAATAGAAAAGAGGGACAAGCACAGTATCAAAGTCATATGGCGATACCGATTATACAATTCAGCTACCGCTGTTGTTCCTGATGCCTGTTGAGCAGCGCGATAAGACCGCGGCCATATTGTCACCGCTGCATTCGTCGCGAACACGTTTACCGCTAGACAAGTAGGCACTAGGGTCATGTCTGAAAGTCCCGTTACGGCTCGAGCGCCGTTTGCAAACGCTAAGCCGCACGCAGTTCATAAAAACTGACAGGGTTATTTATATTGCGAACGTATTTACGGTCGAATCGGACAAAGCGTCTCTTTTCTAATAAAATTATTTTATTATGCATCCAAAAAGTTACGTGACAAGTGCGATAACATTACATATTCATAGGATTTTGCCGAATTAAAATAAATAGAACAAAAGTATTAAAACATGCAAACGCGCCTCCAACTTTTTTAAAGCAAAATATCCGAGCTTACTCTTAAGAGTACAAAAAATAATACAAAGAGTACGGAACAAATCGAAACGGGGAGAGGGAAAAATCGGTAACTAATTAGAAAAGTCTGTAATCATCAGAGTGCATCGTTGGCCGGAGTCTGGAACGGGTTGGTGCTGAAATCGCGACGCTCCCGTTGAATAGGAAAAGTTTTGCCCCGCGGCCATCCGGAGGGCCAACGTGCCATTGCCTCGGCGCTCTTGCGCGCCTCTAATTAAATCACAAACACCGGCGGCCGAAACAGTTTCCGTATAATTGGAAAAGCGTGTCCCTAAAATTGCACCCATTTAATCGGAGCTATACAATGTCTGGCGAAAAAACGAAAACACTTACACATCTGGAAAAGTTTCCCGTTTTTACAGATTTCGCACGTATCAAAATCAGTGTCTACTTTCCACCTCGATCCTAGATAAATGTCGGTGCCAGGATTAATGTCGATATACTCAAATACTCAAATAAACTGTAACTGTAAAATGAACTGACTTGCTTAATATTAGAACCGTAATTTATGTCTTAACACAGATAGATTATACCGAACCCTTTAAGAACTTCATCATCGTTTTGATGGCTCCGTGGCGCACTCGCCAAGTGTTGGCTTCGGCGTCGGGGGTCGTGGGTTCGATTCCACACGAGACAACTATTTGTGTGATCCACAGATAGTTGTTTCGCATGTGGGTATTTGTCCGCGTGAAGTTTATGTTTGTAAAACGTCCTTACATCACAGGATTATGTTATCCTAAAGTAAGGCCAACGATTTTTACACATATATTAATTATTAAAAGTGATAACCGCGTATTGCTTTTCTATAGAGTAAAAGATAACAGAGCACATTCAATGGATTGCAATATGAAATTGGTCATGAAATGCTTTCTGACGCACAAAGCAGCGACCTCACCCTACAGTATAAATCAACTATCCGTCGACCAAAGTGCGGCAACTTCGGATTTTAAGTTACAGCGGACCGCAAAAGTAAGTCACCCTTTGACGACGCGACAAGTTATCAGGATCGACACGGATAATTAAGAAACGAGCCGCGCTCCACCCGCGTCCCTCGACAGCAGGGGGTGCCGCATCCCTTACGTGGTTCCTCTTAACTACATAATCGATATGGTTTCACCGCTTCCGCGCCGCCTAGACTCAGCCGATTTCGGAATCTGCAGCGGATTCGGAGTGGCCCCGAGTGGCGTGACCCATCTCGAGGGCCACTCGGCACCGGCGGCTGCGGCGCGCATATGCCGACATCGTACCATCACGGCTCTCGTGAACGCTCTACATTCCGACGGTTCCATTTTCACTCTGATGCCGACCGTACAAGTCACTTGCACTCTCTAAAGGCCAATTAATTCACGCGTATGTAACGTTCACATGACTTCAGACGTGCTGTTTTTTAAACGGATTAAATTATTCGTATTTTTTCTATTTCATCTTTGGAACTGAAAACAAATGGCTGCGCAGATTATATTTATATCTAGTTACTTCAAGATAATTTATTTTGTGACTACTAGGTGCACCACACATAAGGTTTTAAGAGTCTTAACATATCTAGTACTGTTTAACAAGTTCGTGATAAGCTTCAGAGGTTCAAATTGCAAATGTAAGCACCACAGGCTGTCGCAGAGTACGCGTATCCCTTAAATAATTGGAACGCATAATCCCGACCACATCAGGTGGCCCAACTCAACCGTGACACTTTAATGGGCTCTCTCGAGGCTGCCCCGCGACCCGGGCTCAAACCTCCGACCCCACGGAGGTATCATCCGGACGTATACCTGCAAACTCTCGTTTTGGGTCATTCAATTTCGCACGCTTTGGAAACAATATAATTGAATGGTAAAGCAGAAACAAACAACGTCGTTGTTGTTTGGATAACGGAATAGACAATCAATTCAAATCATGGCATTTGTTGCAGGTCAGCTCACACAATAAAACAGTAGAATTATAACAATATTATAGTTATAACATAACGTTAGTTAATTTCGGCACTGACACACTGAAAACAGATTTGGCTCTTGAAATTACTACGGCTATTTATGACATCTTAAGAGAAACCGTTTCATATTTAAATTGAAAACAGTATGACGTTGCGTAAGTGTAAATTAAGAACCGATAGGCCGCAAAGTTCAGGGGATCGAACTGTAAACAGGCTACAATAGAAGACGTTCGCTGGCACAGCTCCATAAGCAGGGATAAATATGTATGTCGAATGACATCTATCCCCGACAGTTATGATTAAGTACAGTACATAGTATCACGAATAAGGTGCGATATCAATCGATCAAATTTAAACAAGTCACTCTCCAACAAATGAGTGCCTGGCTTTCAAGGCGTATTTGTCATTTAAAACGGACGATTAAAACATGAAACCACGAACAATCTCTGTCTGTCTCATTAGGGTCAAAAGGATCATGGTCGTGTGCACATAATTATCAATGTGAAAAACGTACCATAGTCTAAGCTACAAAAAATAATAACATTAGATATTTTTGAAAAAAACATAGCATCGTAGTGATATGTTTTTTGAATGAATATGTGATAATGAAAATAATTACAACACCTCTTTTATAACTGTTACTGTTCGTACCTCATATCGGGAATGAGACGTTAATAAATAGATATGTCCAAACTAATACCTCCTTTGTTGCATATTTTAATACAGTTGTCGTTTGTATAAGTCGCTTCCAAACATCATTACTGGAATAGGAAAAGTATATTCCAGGCAAACCTAGATGCAAGCAGCGGAAATTTAGACTAAACAGCATAGTACGAGGCAGTTTTAGCGTCACACAGAAACCTGGCAGAGGCCAAACTGCTGCAGGCGTTTCTCCGCAAAATCACACCGCCTTGTTATAGCAGATGAGTCCATTGAGTGCCGCACTAAAACACTAATCCAATTATTACCGTATTTTGAAATTTATTTATTGATAATTTTTTTTTTCTGGTGTCACATTCTAAACACACATTTGAGTTGAGAGAAGTATTTGATATTTGTCAAAATAAATATGGCATATAGTAAAATTTGATTGCTTATTTTTTTATGTAAGAAAGTGGCAAACAAGCCGGCGGTTTCAATTGATGTTAAATGATAACCGCTGCCCATTGACATCTGCAATACCCGTAGGGTTTCAAATGCAATACCTTTAACTAAGGCTTCGTCTACCTCACTCACCAGACGAAACGCATAAATGTAACACTTCTACACTTTTACGCCGGTCTTCTGTGAGGTGTAAGTACTTACCCGGACGGACCTGCCCATTCGTGAAACAATGAACACGATACACTGATATACACTTGGGAACTCTTTTTATTTTTTAATATGAAATCGAAAAGAACTGAAGATGAGTGCAAAGCAATCTCTGTGCGATTACGCAGTGTTTCAATCAACCATAAGCCCCTTGCGGTGTTCACCAAACAGACTGCAAACAGTCGTTAGCGAATGGATTCCGTCGCGCCGTCCTCCTAACTCTCGCCTCTTAATTACCCTGATCAAACAATCATCTAGAAAGCCCGAAAAAAACTCCGAGCGTCGCCGACGCGAAAGTCAATTCCGGCGAATTTGCATAAAGCCCGTGTTGTACTTTGACGGTTCGATTGTCGCTTAATTAACGCTCGCCGAGGGCGAGGCTTTGTCTCGCGACCATCACCACCCCCCCGCCCCACCTCCGACGCAAACCTCTACCCATTCCCGCCCTTTCGGCGATGACTCTACATCGTTTTGCGTTTTCTCTGCGACCTTATCAACGGGCGTCGTCTGTGACTTGCATAGCGGCTTTTTCACTCCTAGACATTGGAATCGAATCGTTCGATTATATTCCATCTAATGTAAAGAGGAAGGATTCGGTCTAATTGAACCCCACAAACAATATGTTCAAATCAGCGCACATGAAGTTTAACATTAACCAGACAAGCACAAGATGCAATACGTGTCGTGATCGTAGAACGGGCTGCACGTGGCGGTGCCACGATAAAAGCTAAGACCCCGCCCCGGGGAGCATACGAAGGAACGGACCGCGTACCGTTAGGCACCGCGCGCCGCCGCACCTGACCCCGCAAGCCTGGCCTGCACAACCTCAAAACTTGACTCGTATCGCCGCTAGCTAAAGATTCAAGACGTGTTGACAAAAACAACAGTGTTGGAATATACTACGTATAAATGAACACGTGAAACTCGTAATACAGTATCGGTTAAGCCCTAAGCAACCACTTTTTAATATACAGTTCATATTTTAAACAAATAAATTGTTTTATGCAAAACTGGCCGGTGTTCGACCGCTATCCATCCCAGCGACAAATGGGGATGTTGTTGTAAATGGCAAAGGAACCGACTCAGTAAAAGCCTATTTTCCCTTCCCTTGAAGACTCCAACATTATTTCCGAACGGAAAGACAAACCGGCGACTGCGGAATTTGCTCTATTTCTTAAGAAATGGATGACTCGATTTTGATTTGAAATTCGTACCACTAACAGTTATTAGACACTAACAGTATTACATCGCGCTTGTCTAGTGAGTGTTTTGTTCTTTACTAAAACCAAGGTTTGAATTTATTATATTTATTTAATGTAAAAGATACACGATCAACAATATCAACAATATTCAAAATTTTATTACGAGTTAAGTATTCTATTAGTAGTATCTCTTCCTTAATAACTTTCTTTGAAAGTATATACAAAGATTGATGTGTAAAACAATGTATCGCCGCATAATGCCTAGTGGCAAAGAAGTTATTATTCACTAGAAAGAAATAGAAACAAACATGAAAATGTAAATCTGAAAACGATTTAAGAATATCATACAAAACTTTAAATTAAACTTAAAAATTTAAGAACATATGTTTTAGAAACTTGACTTATAACAAGCGGATAACATCAATGTTTTTATTGTTAGAAAATACACGGACTATGAAGAGGAGCTTACTTGCCTAAATTGGACCTGCTAAATGAAATGTAAAATGTATTTAAGATGGGATATCGAAGTATGTTGCAAGATACAGACAGATAAATTGCCTTGATAGAGCAGATGCCGGTGCTATATATAATGTAGCATGCAAAATCCTATACAACTTCTGCAATTTTACGTCGATTTTCTAGTGGCCATTATTAAAGTGGAATGTCTAGTGTCATAACTAGCGTGATATGGACAAACTCTAGTTTTGTAGGATAAGACACGAATAAAGATTTTGGAAAACGTCCTACACTTTGGTTGTTTTTTGTTTTTTTTTAATGCTTAAAATTGCCAAACGAGCAGACGGGTCACCTGATATTAAGTGAATACCGCCGCCCATGGACATGTGCTACACCCGAGGGTTACAGATGCGTTGACAACCTTTTAAAAATTGGGCTCCGGCTACCTCACTCACCAGACGAAACGCGAAAGTATTTGTCATACTTCCACTTTACGCTGGTCTTCTGTGAGTTAGTGTTAAGCTTGATGGCTGGATTCTATACAGAAGATGCGTATTCTAATAATTGATTTCGCACAAATGGGTTGTGTACCGCGATAAAGGTGTTTTCATTCCTTAATTCCCTACGTTTTTAATACATTTATTATTATAGGCAGGTACTAATTATAGAGATTCATACTAAGAAATGCTCGTTCCTGCAACAGCTGCACCAGATCAAACATTTTATTAACATTTATGCTATATAGGTTATTGCACAAATTTTGGCGTGAGGTGAAGCGCTCGTCAGCATCGTTACTATCGGCCCCAAATGGTTACCATCATCAGACTCAGATCTTGCACTCATGTGGTACACCTATGGGTTTTATAGGAATGAGCCATTTTGCTACAAGCATTATGAATCAAAGTCAAAAACAAAACTTCTTTGTTCAACATAGACTTATTTTAAGCTATTATTGAACGTCAAAAACTACCACCGATCCAATTAACTAGCCTGCCAGAGAAAAGTCGGTAAGAAAAACTGCGGTCTTCTTTATTTTCTTTGAATCATTTTAGTATATACACAAAAGTGTTTAAGTATAAAATTAGTAGGAGCCAGGTGACTTGCAATTGCAGAGCAAGAATCGATTTGTAAATACCAGAAACGAAAGCAAGTGACAAGAATATTTATCAAGGAACATTAGCCGCGATGACAAGTCAACCAGTCGAAGCGACGTTTGGTTTCGCATGCTAGTGTACATAAATTGCTGTTGCTACCACGAAATTTCTCCTCCCCGACCAAACTGGTTGTTTTGTGTTCGGAGTGCGTGACGCGCCGAGACGCGACGGTAGCGGCTTTTGAGTAAAGCGACGCAAAATGTACGGTACGTTTTTGTTCATCTTTCACTTAGAAAATCGTGATACTAGAAGGGAGACCTCTCTAAATTACTAATGAACCGTTTTTATGCTGTACTGATATTTTAATAAGAAAAATAATATATCTCTTTATTTTTACTTTTTTTTCGAAAATATGCAGGTTTTCTCACGATTTTTTCCTTCATGACGAGCACGTGATAATCGATACTTAAAATTAATGTCATTGGTGCTGCACCGGGATTTGAACTCTGAGGGCTCGAATTAAAAACGAGCGCCCGGACACTGCGCTTTCACTTCCCTAATAATAGGCCCCGTGTTAATATATTGCCCCTAAAAGCCATAATTTACGTTATCTCAGTTATGGACCGATTAATTTATATATAATCACCAGATATAAACTAAAAGTGGTATCTTCCGGCTTACATAGCCAATTCGTAAACAGAAATAAGTAGTTTGTGACATTATTATTGATGTCGGTTAAGGTGAATGACCCAGGAATTAAATATTATTATACAGATTTGAAAAACTGAAGAAAACATTATTTTACCCGTATACATAGTTTGTTATGAATAAAAACTATGACGGTTTTCAATACCCATTTTGATGTCCGACTTATTTTCACGTGGTGAGTCACGCTGTTTTGAGATCTGCTGCTGCCAGAAGGAGATTTCGTATGTACCATTCCGTCTGTTACTTGTTGAATTGAATTTCTAGACTAGGGTTCTTATTGAAAAGCTCGTTAATTATTCCGCTGCATTGATGTACACTGATTAGAATATCAAACACGAACCCGCATTTCCTAACAAGGTCGGAGGTTGGGACAATCGATCAGCTCGATGCTATAGAATTCTAATTAGGACGCAGTTGGCGACTTGGCGTGTGCATGCGAATTATAATCTGCGATGCCGCAGCAACAGCGTACAATTATAAGATAACACTGGTTATTAACACGGGTCACATGATTTGTACTTAGTATATTAATGTAAAGGTTTTTAGTTTAGATAATACATTTAATTTTATTTAACTCTCTTTTATTATTCTATATTGTCTTACAAGATAAATTACCTAAATGGTATGTCCCATGAGCAAGGTGGGATTCAGAAATATGGAAGCAGCATTCTTGGGAGTCCATCCAAACCTGGTGCTTGTTGGTATTCTGAGGATGTTTATCTCAGTGGCCTAGTGTGCACTATCCATCTTTATATATCTGAAACGCCACGTGGTTTTTATGAGCTTTAGTTTAATTTGCCATACAGTACGAGTAAATGGTTGTCTAGTAATAATAATAATACATACCTTTTGTAAAGGTAATATTTAAAAATTAAGGAATGGATATATTGTTTTTACTAGTACTTTTAAATAATTTTTCTAGTACAGAGTGTGACTGTGAAGATCGGAGATCCGCCATATTGTTGATGTGCCTCTTACTTGTTAAAGTTAGCATCGTTATTATTTTAAAGTATTTCATTATTACATCTTAATTTTTATTATAACTATTATAAGATTATGATATTGCTGTATATGGGTCAGTACGGCATCGAATCGAACCATCATGAAGTATGAAGGTTAGCACTGAAAATCAGCGCTGTGTTGGGGTGTTGATTTCCGGCACAGCAATTTACCGATAATAGGCCGTACAATTCTTTTCCTTTAAATTGATTTATTTTTCTTTTGTGTTTATATCGCCATAGTTTTTTGTATGTCCAGATTTTGTTTTGTTTTCTTTACTCTTGTGTGTATTATTTTAATTTTTTTTTCAAAATTTCTTTTATTTTTTGTTGTGTGCGTCGTTATTTTCTTTATTTCTTTCTTTGAAATTTCTCAGGTAATTGTAACGGTAAAATGCAGAAAGATGCACCGAATCTATGCCAACCACTACGCGGGAGTGTAGTGGGGGGGTAGGAGTCGACGTCAGAAGCTATTGTTTACACCATTGTAGACGTTGAAATATATGCGAAACGCGACGACGAAGCCAGGGTCAGATAATTAGTTGAAAGTGAGCGCCCAACCTTGCGGTTAGTAAAAATGCAGTTTTATCGCAAACTGGCAATTGCTTGATATACAGCAAAGCACCACTCCAGTCTAAACGCGATATGGGCTCAGTTGGCCGGGTCAGGAAAGCACAACATGGGATCATTGCCCTCTAAACGTCAATGTGGCACGGCGGCCGGTGATGGTGGTGAGCGGTGACGTAATAGCGGCGAGGGCCCATTGAGCGCTGGGGCCGCGCCGCCGCCAGCGCCACTCGCGGGCGCACCAATTACGCTGGCAGCGGCAACCGGTCCGCAACTCACAATTATGGGCGCAACAAAGTTACCCGCAGGGCTGCCATCAAAGCTGAACGGCAAGTAGCGAAGCTTTAAAGGGTGTACCCGAATGTTGCAATGGACAAGTTTAAAAAGAAACCCCTACGTTGACTTTTTACGAACTCTACACAAAACGAAATGTCTAATAGTTCTATCAATCGAGCCGTCAGATGCAACGGTTTCTCCAAGTATTGACTAAATCACTAAGACAACCATTTAGTAATTACCATCAGAATGTAAGGTTATGAAGATGTTACAAAGCAAGCTTTGTAACATCTGCTTGTTTTCATTTTCTGTTGCAAAAGACGACAAGAGTCGACATCAAATTCACAATATAATTACTGCGGATTGGATTATATTAAATACCAGCTGTGCCCGCGACTTCGCCGGCGTGGATTTAAAATAAAAAAAAATCTAAAATAAAAGTAGCCTAAGTTACTCCTTATTACATCAGCTATCTGTCAGTGAAAGTCACGTAAAAA